CTCACATTCGTTTCGATTCTTCGGAGATGCAGTCTCCTTTAGGAACCTTTGGTCCGTTCGGTGTAAATTTATATATAGTAAATTTGTATTAATGTAATTTTATAGTAAATTTATATTAATGTAATTTTTTATTTTCCTTAAAATGACGGAACAAATTAATAAACTTGATTATGATAAAGATGTTGATGATTATGTTAAATATGATTTAGATAACAAATCCTTATTTTTCGATCTTGAGTGTGAATATAAAATTTCAATTAGAAGAATGGAAAGATTCAAAGAATATTTGAATGATTATCTTTACACTATACAAAGTAATGAAAATGTAATATGTAATTACCAAACTAAAGAAGGTTGGAGTAAAACATATCCTTTAACAGATAAATATGCTTTGAACAAATTGATTAACGTTCTAGAAACAAGAATATTAAATCATGATGAAATAATTAAAGCTGTAAACTCGGATTATGATACCGATATACCAGAACCTAAAATTGTTATAAAAATAAAAGTATCTATTTGTAAATATTAATTCTTAGCCTAAGACGTGAGTTTCTCGTCAAATAATTTACTAACATCTAAATTATTAACAGTAATGTAATGTTCTAATATCGGAAGCATCTTATTAATAATTCCATCTCTCATATTATTTTGATTGTTTTCTAATTCTTCTATTTTATTAAGTAATAATACTAATTGTTCTTGCTTTACGCCCTCTATATTTTTGACTTTATTATTAAGATCATTTTAGTGATTCTAACTTGTTTCTTAATTAATGTTTGTTTACCTTTAATTTTACAAAATACACAACCATTAATATAAATTGTAGCATATAAATCTTTTGTATTTATTGAGTTAACTTCTGGATTATTATTAATATATCTATTGATTTCCTTGTTACATTGTTTATACATATCTAATTCTTTTAAATTGTATTTGTTTATTATCTTCTGTAACGCAATAATATGTTTAGAAGTAATATCAGATAAAGTTTCAGCATTCGGCGTGAGTTTATCGTCAATATAATATTCATCTTCACTTTCGTCATTTGGAGAATAAGACATACCAAATACTGTTTTTGGTGTTGCATCGGAGATGCCTTTATGTGTTAGAACTTTGCTCCCGCTTAGCGTTGCATCTTTGTTCCCGCTACGCATACATGTCGTTTCTCTTATTTTAATAATTTCAGAAGTATCTATTTGTTTTAATGGGTCCGTCTTTGTAGTTTGATTTGTTATGTCTGAAGATAACAAATTTTTGAAAAATGTTTTTAATGACTTTGATTGAGAAGTATTATCTGTACTCATTTATATTAAGATAAAAATAAAAATATATTATTTATACATTACTAAATGTATTATTAATAAAGTGATATTAATGTATTATTATAATAACTATAAAAATAACATACTCAATAGATGTCTTCAGATAAGATGTAAAATATATTACTTTGTTTTTACAATTTATGAAAACCTTATAACTACAGTTCGTACGAAAAAATACATTTAGGTTAAATAACAGTAAATATCTATTAAATTACTGAAGTGTAATTTCATTAATTAAAAATATTCTACCATCTTTTCCTTTACAATAACCATGATCAAAAAAGTTTTGAAATTTTTGATAATTATCTTTACTATTTAAACACATCGATATTTCATAATTTTTTTGAATAACATCAGGACTAACATAATATTTTACAATTATATCTTTTATATTATTATTTCTAATAAACTGATTAAAGTATTCTTTAAATTTATTAATTCTTGTTTTAAATTTAGAAGAATCACAATCTAAGTTAGCTACAACTTTATTATCGTCTTCATTATAATAAACATAATCATTTACGTCTTCAGCCTTCGGCAAGAATACATCGCAGAAGAGGACTCCACATCCTTTGGATGTGTAGATGCTTTGCTCACTTGATTCATCATCACTAGATTCACTTACATGTTCACTTTCAAGTTCACTAATATTTTCAGAATCATCTATATCTTCATCTGTATTTTAATTATATAATAATTTTAAAGGACAAAGCTCGATATACTTCCTAAACGCTTCATTCATATACTGTTCCGTCATTTTAAGGAAAATAAAAAATTACATTAATATAAATTTACTATAAAATTACATTAATACAAATTTACTATATATAAATTTACACCGAACGGACCAAAGGTTCCTAAAGGAGACTGCATCTCCGAAGAATCGAAACGAATGTGAGATTCTAGAGACATCAAAGATGTTGATATTTTGGGAAATTTTGAAAACACGTCCCCTCGCGATTTAATTAAAGTATTATAAAATATAGATAAAATGGGGTGCCCCCTAAATCTACACAATTTATATACTACTATTGCAATAATAATTAAATGTTGACAAAAATCGAAAAACTATAAAATTAAATTACAATTGATGATAATGCAAAATGTTATTACTTTTTTGATTTTTAATAAAAATGTTTTTTAAAATATAGGGATCTTTAAGATCGTAAATTGGAGAAATATTTTACCAATTTTTTCTCTTTTTTGGTAAACAGGTAAAATGGATTTTACTTCATCCCTATTTATAAATTATAACAAAGGTGAAACTCTATTTTTCAACAATAACAAAAACAATAACAAAAATGGAATTAGGTTATAAATCAACATAAAATATAACTCGATATTTGAATGATAAGTTCAACTGCTTGTTCTAATAAAAAACATTAAAATTCCAGAATTCCAATTGTCGTACAGAACGAATAAAAAGGCGTTGTATATCGATTGTGGATGGAGCAAATGATAAACATCTCGTTTATAAAAAATAATGGGAAAAGCCAATTCGTGTGATTCAATGACTTTTTCCCTGCAAAAATTACGGTAAACACGAGACTGTTGAATGGTGCAACCCAAAAAACTAATTGAGAAAAATTGTGCAACTTTAGTTATAGTTTAGTTATAGTATATTAATTAGAGTAAGAGTTTTAAAGAAATTTGTTTGTGTTTTCTTGTTATGTTTATAAAAACATATAATTGTTTTATTATAATTATACTATAAACAAAGTTGCACTGACACGTCAAAGTTGCACGGTTTAAAGAATGACTTTAATTATATTTTTTTGTTTTTGTTTTTTAAATGAAATATTTTGAAAAGTAGACAAATCAAGTTTTCAATGAAAAATTTGTCTATTTAAACAATTTATCAATGATAATGAAATGTTTACATGTATCAAATTTAATGATTATTATTATCATTCTTTGTTTTTAAAACAGAAACCAAAAATTAATCAAGAAGCAATTAATTATGTATTTGATGGTTGTAGGCCACTCAGAAAAGTATCGAAAAATCATGATTATCATTCAACTTTTTCATCATTGTGGCGATTAGATGACAAATTTTTTAGTTTTTATACCCAACCTTTGTTTTTGACAACAATATTTTTAATTATTCTAATACTATTTAAACTATACACATTATGAAAATACCAATCAAAAACAAACTGAAAAAATTTATAAATACTTTTTTTCCTATTTCTATTTTATAAAAAAGACAATTCTAGTTGTTATAATAATTTTATTATAAAATAACTACAGTCAATAATGTATATTTGTGGTACAACAAATAGATAACTGGTTTGTCCTTCATTTAAAAATATATTCTTGAATTTAAATTGTTTGTGGAATTAAAACATAATTTAATTTAAATAACTTTCAATATTAAAAAACAATTTCGCATTCTACTTTACGAAAAATAGATGTGTATTTATTGATTGTGTTAAAAGAGACCCTTTTAACTGGTATTGTTGATTTACTTCAATATGTTGCAATTTTTAATCATTTCATTGTATTATAATTAATTATTATGTTATTATTAAATAGACATTATTTAAAAATTGAAAAAAATTTCTTAATTACTTTTGGCTGGAATTGTTTAAGGTCTTTGTGAATGCTAACCTTCATCCATCTGATAAAAAAGGTGAGTTTGTGGTTCGTTTTTGTCGACCGCAAAAAGAGTTGTTCTTCCTTTCCCATTTTACCTGCCAAATAATTTGGACTTTCTTGTGAATGAATGAAAATGAACCAAAATCAAGTTTTGGTTCATTTTGGTTTTTTTTAACGACTTTATATTAAATTATGTATATTTGAATTTAAACAATATCTTTCTTTGAAAAATTAAGACAAAACATATTATTATTTTTCATTTTATTTTTCTTTTATCTTTGAGAAAATAACAATAAAATATAAAAACATATACTGAACGAGTAGTGAATTAGAATACATCTTATTTCTTCTCCTCTTTCTTTTCAGTAGCAGCC